CACACAGACAACCTCTCGTCAATATGCGTTTTTCGCATTGCATAGCTGCAAAAAAAAAAAAAAAAACGCATAAAAATGTGTGCGAAATAGAGTAACGAAAAACTTACGCGGCTTCATGGGCGCTCAGAAGCGAGCAACTTCTTGCGAGGCACTGGTTTTTGTACTTTTGATCGGCGTGGAAGTCGCAAGCAACCATGTCATAAAATACAGCGCCGGGCCACTGATGTCTCATTTCCGTTGCTACGCGTAACTTTATATCCATATCTATTCGAAGACCACGTACTGTCGCGCACATTGCCATGAAGTAATCCTGGATTGTTCCGAAACGCGACTCAATGCGAGCTGCAAAGCACACTTCATCATTTCCTCCATCAAATGATCTATCATAGATATAGCAGTATGCTTCACACAATTAACCAAAGTCTATCGCGTGAAGAGGACAAGTACACCGAATATCAACAGGACTGCTCCAAAGTCAATATACTGGTGCACCAATAATGTCAAACAAACTGCATATGTTAACATAGAAGATTCCAGGCTCCCGTTCTCTCCCAATCTCCTCGCCAGGAATATTCACTGTTTGTATTTTTATGCGGTTTTTGCAGCTAGGCAATGCGGAAAACGCATAATGACGAGAGGTTGTTTGTGTCTGTGTGTTCTGTGTTTGCGCTGGGCCTCTGTACCGATTTCTCATCTCGAGACCGGCAAAAGTTACGGGGCTGAAACTTTGGGGACTTAATCTACATGCACGTACGGGCAAAATGGGCGGTCTTACCTGCGTGGTACCCACGTAAGAGCTCGCCAAAGTTTTTCGCAAGTCGCTAACTCGCGAACCAGAAAAGCTAGGAAGCTGAAATTTTAAGAGGATGCTCCCGTCCAAGTGGGTATTAATGAGCTCAAACCCAGCCCCCGGGTAAGCGTGGTACCCGCGTACGGGCCCGCCAAAATTTTTTTCGGGTAAGTTGATAACTCGAGAACCTGAAAAGCTAGAAGACTGAACATTAAGAGGATGTTCACCGTCCAAATTAGTCTCAATTAGCCCAAACCCAGCCCTCAGTCATGTGCGGTACCAACGCACGGATTCATCAAAGCTCACCTCGGGTAATTTCATAACTCGAGAAGCTGAAAAGCTAAATGACTGTAGTTTTAAGATGTTCCCCGTTCAAGTAAGTCTCAATGAGCTCAAACCCAGGCATCGGGTATGCGTGGTACCCGCGTGCGGGCTCGTGAAAGTATTTTTCCAGTAAGTTGCTAATTCAGGAGCCGGGAAAACGAGAAGGCTGAAATTTTAACGGGGTGTTTCCTGCCAGTTCTGGCGGCCAATCTCAATTTGTTTAGCTAGAAACATTTGCCGGAAAAACTGGTGTCGGTAGCGACAACAACTGTGGGGAACTATGCAAAAAAACGCATCTTCGCAAGGGCAGTTAAAATTTCGTTGGCCAATTATTAAAATTTCTACAACACTAAGGTTATGGTTCGTATTACCAAATGCAGCTTTGCAGAAAAAAAAAAAACGAAATGTCAGGTCAACTAATGCAAGCAATACAAATGTACCCAGGCAGTAACGCCAACTAAACCTACCGTGCGATTATGTGTTTCTGCGTGAACCCTAAAGCAACCAGATCCTCGGTTGTTGCCATACAGTTTAGCATGTGCATTCATGTTAACGTAGGGGGGAAAAGGCGCCGGCTGAGACGCTGGTGCTGCATCGTGGGTCTACATGAGACATAACCTCCAACATGTACGATTACCGCGAATTTCGCAGGTACATATTTTCGGGCAAAACGTATCCTCAAATTCGTCACAGCCACACGCACGACCCAGAAGTTTGTAAAAATTGATTTTACGTCCAAATGATGCAAAAATTGATTTTACATCCAGCATTCTTGCGATATCTCTGTTTTCTTGGCTATCGGACTGCCGGAAAAGAATAAACTGGTCGCAATCCTCATGCATCTAACCCGTAAATATACATTGTAGGACTATCGTCGTTCATTATTTCACTTTGCTACATTTTATGCCACCAAAATCACCGGGATTGCCAGAGTGGTGTTTTTTTTTGTACTGCAAGCAGGCGCAAGCCTTGTCTCGACTTTTTCGTACCCTCTTCTCTTATGCAACTTGTACCCATTTGGTAGCTGTCATTTCTGATATGCATCACTGCTCTGCAAGCCCAGTGATCGTTTTTTTCTTCATTCTTGCGAAACAACATTCGTTAATAAACGATGTCCAGCAGTTATCAGCGTTTGTTCCTCTTGGTAAATTCCAGTTTCTCTTACTAAAACAGCAAGCCATTTCTTGATGGAGCATCTGATTTTCTTGACAAAGCCTATCTGGCCACAACGCCAGTATCTCATACCACAGCCTCACCATCGTTTCCTTTACAGTATTCTCCTCACTGACCACATTGCTTATTTGTACACTACTGATTTCAGTGCGATGGTATTAAAACGGTTAGAAATAACTAGGCATTTTACCGGGGGGGGGGGGGGGGGAAAAAAAAAAAAAAAAA